ACCACTAGCCAATCTTCTCAGCCATCATCATTGTCGGAAAGACCTCATCGATGAGCCAACGATTTTTGGTTTTCGACGAAGGATCAAAAGCGGAGATGACTTGTCAGAGTACTGGCGGCGGGCGAAAGTCGCCGCTGAATGTGTTTGGCGATCGAAAGGAAGTTGGTGGGAGTCGGGATTGTGTTATGTGTGTGTGTGCGTATGTATTCTCACCGGCCGGTGGCAACGGCGGAGGCAGGCTAGTGGCGGTGGAGGCTCAGCCTGCGCGCGCGCGTGTGTGTGTTTTCTGAATGTGTGAGTAAGTATGTTTTGTGTGCTGATGTGAGTTTGAGTGTGTTGTGTGTGTAGGTGCATGTGTTATATGTGTATATTGCATGTGTATGCGTGCGTTGGTTGTGCGTGTGTATTTTTTATATTTTTTTTTTTTTTATAAATTACATGTTTGACCCATAGACTAAATTGAAATATAATGAAAACTCTTGAAATTTAGTTAAGTTATAATATTCGACCCATGAACTGAATTGTAATCTAGTTAAAATATTGATATTGCATATGGCTCTCTTCTTTAACTAATTTTAAAACAAAAGGTTCCCATTCCCAAAATGCACATCCTGCAAGTATCTTCCTCTCCTTGTTGCCGGTGAAGACCTAGATGACGTAGCAACCACCATCATCGACGGTGTGAAGACCTAGATGATGTAGAGGATGTCGCTGCTGCCGTAAACCACGTCGCCATTCTCGTGGTCGTGGTATTTTTGACTTCTATCATCATCTTTTTGATGTCGTCGCGTTTAAGAGGCGGACAACGTACTCACTTGCAGGATCACGACAATGATGAGGCACGAATTAGCCACTTAAACAACTAGCCAATCTTCTCAGCCATCATCATTGTTGGAAAGACCTCATCGATGAGCCAACGAATTTTGGTTTTCGATGGAGGATCAAAAGCAGAGACGACTTGTCAGAGTACTGGCAGCGGGCGAAAGTCGCCACTGAATGTGTTTGGCGATCGAAAGAAAGTTGGTGGGAGTCAGGATTGTGCTATATATGAATGTGCATGTGTATTCTCACCGGCCGGTGGCAGCGGCGGAGGCAGGCCAGTGGCGGCGAAATTCGGCAGATAGCGGTGGAGGCTCAGCCTGCACGCGCGCGTGTGTGTGTTTTCTGAATGTGTGAGTAAGTATGTTTTCTGTGCTGATGTGAGTGTGAGTATGTTGTGTGTGTAGGTGCGTGTGTTATATGTGTATATTGCATGTGTATGCGTTCGTTGGGTGTGCATGTGTGTGATGATGTGGCTTGAGACCTACTGGATAGTAACTATAATGTACAAATTACCCTAGATGAGTGTACTCATTAAGGGTAAATATGTCATTATTCACAATCCCACTTACCAGTGAAACCCACCCCAACCTCACTCACCATAAAAACACGTCACCTTTTTTCCTCTTTCACACACAGTTTAGATACACACATACACACATACACACACACAATTAAAACAAATACCCACACGCACTAGAAGAACAAGGTTCACCGGCCGGCCATCAGCACCGCCGTCTACCGCCTCTAGCGCTCGTCGTCGCGCCTCCGTAGACTGCCAACTTGTCAAGATACACAACTCACCAGCAGCTACGCACACACATATGCACAAATCGTCACGCAAACGGATGGGTCTACACGATGATCGATGGGTCGGACGTCTGGCTACAGGTGAAGAATTTCTAAAAGGATCGCATTTCCAGAGCCACCATTAGATTGTTTGGCAGCTCTGTTGTCTTTATTATTATAAGCCTCACAACTTTCTTATTGAGGGTGAGCTAATCGATCTGTTTTCTTGTTGGAGGTTAACTAATATGAAATACAAGGAATGATTAATGAAATTATGCTTGTCATAGTTGGAGCCAACAAAGTTCCAAGATGAAATATTGGAAGTAGAAAATAATGACATTTTTTAAGGAGTATTTGTCGGTGCTTATTTGGACAGAGTAATGGGAAGAAAGGAATCATTCGAAGGTTCAGCTGAGCCGCTCTACCTGTTGGACAAAATAACGGGAAAAAAGGAATCATTTAGAGGTTCGACTTAGCCGCCATTCTTTTCTTAAAATAAGAGGGAAAAAGAATCATACGGAGGTTTGGCAGAGCCACCCTTCTTTTTGGACAGAATCACGAGAAAAAATGAATCATACGGAGGTTTGCCTTTCCTTCTAGCACCAAATTTTTTTACGATTGGTTTTACCAACATGATTACAAATCAATAATATGCTATATTAAGGTTGAAATTTGGATTTGAAAGAGGAAGTAAAAAAAAAAAAAGGTAATAAGACAAATAACGAATTAGGTAGTTGGGATTCATTCTCTTATACCGAGATTTATTGATAAATTTGGGTCACTTTTGGATCTATGATTACATATGCCTTTTAAAGAAAGTTTGCCTATTGAAGATCAATTATTTTCGGATGTATTTTGAGACGTGTTTCTTTTTTTTTTATTATTCTCTTCTTATTACTGGTCCTGACTATTTATAGAATGGGAAGAATGGCTTTGGGACGATCTGCTACATGCAGGGCGACACGTGTCGGATATACCTAGTTAACTGGGTGGGGCAATCGTTCACATTGGACGGTGCGAAACGTTTCTAGGCAGCAACCCTTTTCAGACTGAATCAGTTAAGATCAACATGAAGCTAGGGAAGCCTTGCCTATGTGAGGATATTTCTCTTTTATGTCATAGTGACATTGGCCTGGCGTATATATGGTCCACAGTGAGATCGACACAGAAGGTGGTGCCCACATTCTTCAGACCCCAGGACCAATGTGCCTTTATGCATTTAGGAGTTTGGTCAGCGTTGTAACTTAGGACTTTGGGAATATTACCGATGTAAATCTGTCGTCCATATCAACGTCATTTAATGGACTAATTCAGATCAACGCATTTCAGGTATGACAGTTTGTATATTAAAGTTCGTCTTTATTTACAAATATATTTCTAGTTTTTGAATGAGAATCATATTTGGTCAAAATTTTCAATTTACATATGATTTGTTAAATAATAAGGCAGATTTGTTCGGTTACTTTACATTGTAGATAACATAGTTCATCGTGTTGAACAAAAGATCATATTATCGGTGCCTTGTAAAATATAAATTTTAGTTCACAACCTAGATAACGTTTAACAATCTATCGCGAACGGTTGTAGTGTAATTTTTGGAACTAGTTGGTCTTGACTAATGAATTACACTAGTACATTTAGAATGTATTGAATAAAGCAAAACTAATAGTTTGTTTTATAATAACCACCTGAGTGAACTAGACATCAATTATTGTTCGTACTCGTAATCCGTAAGATAGTAAGTGGGCATGTCCATTCAATACTTTTTACTTTGATTTACCAAAAGGTGAGATCCAATTGTGGGATCAATAGAGCGGGTGGTTGGGTAATAATATTATTTATAGGATATGCCATTAATTATCTACGGATTCTGTGTTCCGGTATGCTGGGTTGATGATGTTTCTAAAATGAGCTAAAAATATTTATTGTGGTAAACCATGTAGTTGGATCAGTTTTCGGCATAATAATAAGGTTGAATGGTATTGGTTTTAGAATCAAGAAGTTAATTAATTAAACTGTTAGTAATAAATTAATTAATGAACGTTATATCTTAAACAATGAGAAATAAAGCGAGTGAATAAATTTGGATCCAAATATATAATTTGGGATCTAAAAGGTAGTTCAATATATTTTCTTTAGAAGAATAAAATATTATTCACATAGATTAGATGTAGATGGGCAAGATTCTATGTTACCTAATCTTGTGAATAGTCCTATTTTAGCACCTCCTATTGGTATCTGTTGTAGCCTATATATACAC